AGCCTCCTCTTAAAGACCCCCAGGGTAGGAGCCAGCACCACTTCACTTGGAAGTTGGTTCCAGATCCTAGCTGCCCTGACAGTGAAGTAGCACCTCCTGATGTCTAGTCTGAACTCTCCGTATCTCTTTCCTGAAAGGTGAGGTGCTAGCCGGCTGTAGTGTATTCAGGGTGAGACTGGTCTCAGTCTCTTATGCTAATCCTGTTCCATTTCGTATAAAATACTGAAATAGTTTATGCTGAAACTGGAACCCAGTCCTCCCTCATTCCTGGTGCCTGCCTTAACCACCTAGCTACAAAGTTCTCCCACTTCTCCCTAGCTCAGTGATTATTTAAGTATTCCAAATAAAATGAAACCATTTCAGCAACAAAGATTGATGTCCTAACTATGCCACAGTCTTAACATACCAGGCAGCTATGACCTGAAATACACTATGCTACTCCATGTGGGCTACCTCCTGGACAGCATACATGTTTACACGGCACTGTAGGATAATGAATGCTTTTATTCAGCAGTACAGTGCGTTCAGGTGCTGCTGCCTGGTGCATTAAGTGTGTGATGTATATGGGTCCTGAAAGTAGCTCTCACAAGATATCCTATAAGCTGTGGTTAGAACACTCTCATGGTAGGTGGATGATGTGCATTTAAAGACACTCATGGGATATGGTGGATGAAGCCCCTCACCACCAGCTCCTGGAGTAGAAGTGGGCGCTAGCACTATTATCTGAATCTAGTCCCCAATTCTTTCCCAAACGAAATCATTCAGTGATTCAGTTCTTGTTTACAAATAGTTTGGGATTAATCAAAATTGCATGTTTTATATGTATTATGTATTTACCAAAAAGAATTCAGCCAGCCCATATTATGAGGCAGTCTTAAATACAAGATCACATACTGTCTTTCCAGGATCCCTGCCTCATTCATTAGATACTGCCCTGGAAATTAATACTTTTTCTGTAGTGAAAGAGACTCTGATTGTGTACTGGGGAAGACGGTAGGTGTATAATGAATAGGGGTGTGCGAAGCAGGCAGTATTTGATTTGGATTCAGCCCAATTTGAGGGACAGTGATTTGGTTTGTTAATTCAGATCACTGTCCTGATTTGATTTGGTGAAATCTGAATCTGAAGATTCAATTCTGATTCGGAGAATCAGCGATTCGGCCATATATACAGCTTTATAAGTTTTTTCTACATACTTTGAGGTACCAGGCATGGCTCATGAATGCTGAGATGGTGGGGTGGATGGAACGTCCCACAGGACCGCAGGGGGAGTCCCCTGCACAATTGGCGGTGGACCCAGAAGTGGACCGGAAGTACTTGCAGTCCACGGCTGGGTCCTCCGGCTCAGTGATCAGCCTTGGGGGGACCCCCAGACCCAGGAGCCACCAGTTGCCAAGAGTGTTCTGGGTCCACTGCTGAACATGCAGGGGACACCCCTGCACTCCCACAGGACGCTCCATCCTCCCCACCATCTCAGCATTCAAGAGCCACACCTGGTACATAGAAAAAACATATAAGCTGTGTCTATGGCTGAATCATCAAATCTCTCTGAATCGAATTGGAGGCTTCTGATTTGGAGAGATTAATGGGTCTCCTGATTAGATTTGTATTTGGAAATTTGGCCACCGAATCGGGCCGAATCTCCTCCAAATCAAATCAGCGACTGAAGCTTTGCACAGCCCTAGTAGTGAATGAGACAGAATTCTAATTGCAAAAAGATGGGAGTGTCTGATAGTTATAGAAACTGAAGTCCTGGAGAACTAGATTTTATCCTTGTCTCTGCCACAGAGTTGCTATCTGTTGTTAGTTGAGTTACTTCACTTATACAGGCTGTTCAAAGTGGCTACTGTTTTTCTGAGTTTTGACTGCCTAAGATGAGATACCAGAAACCAGACTAACTCAAGTGCTGAGCATTCACAACTGCAAATAATGTCTATTTTGTTTTGTTTTAAACTGGCCAAGTACTTTTAAAAAAGGGCAAGCGCCTGTCATCTCAGGATTGACATCCATGGTGGATATTTGACAATTCTGGCCTTAATCTGTCTGCCTTATCTCCCCATCAATAAAATGATGGTAATGATACTACTTTATTTTACAAGGTATTGTGAAAATAACTGCATGAATATGTATGAAATACTCAGGTTCTCTGGAGAGAACACCACAGGAACACAAAAGTGAAATCAAGGGGTGCCTACAGACATGCAGCAAGGCTACTCCAATGTGAGCAGACTTGATTAATCGAGTCTGCTGGAGCATGGTTATTACCGTGCTCCAGAGGACTCCAACATCATGTGTATCAGTGTCCCTGTGCTGAAAATGGCAGCAGGGACACTTTAACTAAGGCTTATCAAATGAGCTTTAGTTGAAGTGCCCCTGCTGCCATTTTTCAGCACAGGGACGCTGATACATGTTAAGCTCTGGGCGCTTTAATTACAGCTGCTCTTGGAGCTCAAATTAAAGCCCCACCCCCCAACACCACCACCACTCCCAGAGCACGTATATAAATGCCCGAGAGTTTTATATTAGAGCACAGTTTGGCTGGTGTGCAGTAAATAAAGTCTTGGTAGTAGGGACTGAAGAGATGATAAAAAAATATGTATTTGCGTATTCACCAAATATGGAAAAATAGCATGTGGTCAGGTAATTAAAGACTCTCGTGATGCTTGTGCACAAAGGAAACAAATTAAAATCACATGGGCAATCTTAATTAAAGAACTTTCCACATCCTGAGTCTTTGACTTCACAAACTCAGTTTATTTTGGCATGGTTTGTTTTGTTTTGAATGTAATAGAGCCATAATATAAGTTCGACACCTTCCTGGAAGGAATCATATAAGCAACTAGAACTGTAACTAGTATATTAATTCAAATTATAGCTTGCATCTTGAGAATGCACCCCAAAAAATCAGAAATTGGAGCTTTCCCAAGTGGGCAGAAAAGTATTCTTGCAGTGGGTTGTAGGCTTCAACTTCAGATAAACATAGTCCTTGCCTTGATAAAGTGTAACCAAAGTTGATTGTATCAGTTGCAGAGGCTGCATGCAAAATAAACAGGAAATCAAGTGGGTGTCTAATCTAAAGTTAGCTCAAGACGTAAGTCATCCTAATGCAACAGTAGTTGCCAACAGTTTTCTAAAGCCAATGTGACACTAATGACTTCCTAGTTTTTATTCTGTTCTACTTTGTATGCAAACTTTAGTTCAGTTTCAACCTTCATTCAATAACTATGGATATGTTTCTCCCCATGGGTGTTGGGGTACTGAAAAAATATATATGAAACAGTTTTGCTTTTGATTCATACTTGCTAATAATCATAATTGGCTAAAAATGGAAATAAAACATAACCATGTTACTAGCACTAATAAAATTATTAGCAAACATGAGTCAAAAAGAACACTGTATAACAGATTTACTGCTTCATAAGACACACACATTAATTTCCTGTGGGACATAAATAAATGTTACAGCTTTCAGATATCAAGGCCTTTGTTGGGCTTGAAGTCAGAAAAATTGCCATATTTATTAGTCACTATGAATGTAAAGGAATATGAGACTTTATTAGTAACAAAAGCATTGCCCTTT